CATGATTAGAGGAAGAAAGAAAGTGATTCTGAGCCTTTGGTGTGGGATCTTGATTCAACTTTGCCTTTCCCTTCACCCTTAACTTCATATGTGACTGAAACTATCCAGCCATCTTTTCAGCTTTTCGCAGAGTACCAGAGGTAATCTAGACAATTTTGTACTTAGCAGTAGAGATTTGGCTGGGAAATTTTAGCATAGACATAATGTAGCTGCTTTTGATATTTTGTTTGGTTGAGATCAGGTTCTTCCGCATTGTGCATGCTCCTCTCTTCTTTAGTCACTTTGCTTCTGATAGAAGACACATGAAAGAACCTGACGGAAGCTGGACCGCTCAACCTCCACCCTATGAGCCCATTGTTGCTCAAGGTTAGAAATTTGTACCCTTCATCAACAATAATCATTTCTTCAGTAGCAACATCTGTTGAGATTTCTGCTCGTTTTTGTTTTGCTTATGAAGACGGAATCTTGCACAATCTGAGCGAGTACATTGCCATGAGCGGTGCGGATACACTGTCGACAATGGATCCTGACACGGTGAGAGCAGCAATTTCCCAGAAACTTGGTGTTGTGGTGAGCCATACTCAGCTTGAGGAGCTCTTCACCAAGCTTCCTTAACATGCCTGTCATTTTCTTTGTTAGAGAGAGTCATGTAAGCACTGATACATTGTTGTCTTTCTTGATGAATCGAGATTGATTTTAGACAGGAAACATTATACATACACTCACAAAATGTATGATTACAATGGAACATTACATGACTTTCTCCATAACCCCCAGAAGAAAAAAATTCTGAAAAGGGAACCAAAAAAAAAGAAAGAATTGAAGACACAATCTTCGTATAACTCTGTTTCTATCAATGCATTACTGCAACCTCTATACCCTGACTCGTCATCATACCAATTCCATCAGAAGTGGATCACCTTCAGCCATTTGCTGAACCAGTTTGATGAAGTCTTGTTCGCTCGATATGCTCCACGGGTGAACTGCAGGTGCTTGAGCAGAATATAGATTCGAAGAAGAGTTAAATGACCGTGATTTCCTCTTATATACCATCGAACCAAGAACCGGATCAAAATTCTGAGGCGAATCCATCGACATGAAGAACATTGGCACAGCCACTTTGTAGTGCAAGTCCATATCACCCACGAGATCAACAAGATCAACAAAATCGGTCACAAGTCGTTTAGGCACGTAGAATACCTCTGAACTGCATACTGTTAAGGTTTCCCGATCGTTCTTTGCAGATTCCTTGTAGTTTACTTGGAAATGAGCCGGCATTGTACTTACAGTTTTCTTCACTAGCTCTGCTTGTACAGAAAACCAATCAGACTTCCCGGTCGGTTTCACTGATGTCCATGACTTAGATACCTAATCGCCAGTTTACAAGAAAAAATCTCCTTATAAGATATCTGTATCGAGATAGCCGAAAGAAAAAGCGATTTGATGAGAATGCTATACCTTGTCTGTAGTCCAGATCTTAGTCTTGTCAGCTTGAAGTAGATTCCAGTAATTGAGAACTGTATCGTCTTCAACAAACAAAAATCCTTCTGCACTGCTATATCGATCAAATATCTTTGGTAGATGCCTGAAATATACATACAAAGTTATCATTAGAAGCTCGAATTCTAATCAGCATATTTGAATCGTGAGAAATTCTTACTTGTAAATGTGATCAAGTTTGGCTTCTTCGACATAGAGATCTGAGTTCTTCTGAGAAGACAATATCACCACGGTTTTGAATATCCGGCCATAAAGTAACCTCCACTCTAGTGCAGTGCGTTCAACGGGACCGCTACAAAACATAACAAGCACAACATTTCCAAAATTCTTCCTCCACCTAATCAAATTCCCTATTTCAGTGCTCACTGTGCCGGTTTCCTCAACCCCCAGATGAACAGAAGGCAACTTCCTAGGAACAAACTCTTTTCTATCCCCATGACCGATACTTGCTCGCGGGCGATCCAATTCGAGTGACATCAATCTCGGTTGTTGGTACCCGACAGCAATCAAATCCTGAAGCCAAGCAGCTGTGAATTTTACATCCTGCTCTGTCCAAAACTTTTCTTCAGCCATAGCAAAGCTCAAATCAAGGATTGTCTCAAAGAAACTATGCTTCTCAGATCTCCAAGCAAGTAAGAATTTTATCAAACGACCAACGTTGACATGAAGATCCTTCTCCTCTGTAAAAGGGTAAGCCTCGATTCTATCAAACCGGTGAGCCGTAGGTGGATAAACAGCAACATAACCACCAAGCTCCCACAAAAGCCTTTGTCCCCAGTAACCTCTCAACACATCAGAAGCCATTGAACTAACCGAAACAGGAAGCATTAACCCCCAAAACGCCGACGAATGGTAAAGAGTGTTAAACGAATTAACTGGCACCATTACACCTTGAGGCAAAGCCACTTTAGGAGAATGCTCATCGAAACTAATATCAAAAGCTTCTAAAGTCGTTTTCCTAGTGAAGTAAAACACCGAATCAACATCCGGTAAACCATTCGAAATCCCTTGCTGTATAAACTGCTTACCACCAAAAACCTCAGTATAATACTCCTCATGATTGATCTCACCTACATTCTCTAACGGCAAACCTCTAGGCCAAACCGAACGTTGTCCGAAATGAATGTACGGATTAACCACAGTCCTATTCGGGTTTTCGTGACTATACTGCAAAATCGGTTCTTGCTTAGCATCTTCACCAACTAACTCTACATCAAAATACTTCCCTAGATCTCCATCAATCACTTTACCACGATCATCTGTATCGTAGATCTTCTTCGCACCATGCTGGATCGCGAACAAGTAACCGACACTCTTCCGCACATAAGAATCGTAAGGCAAGTGATCTAAAACTCGATAACCCAATTCGGCTTGAGCATCAAGAGACAAAAAGATCGCACCTTTGAGACTCCAATCCTTCGGGGTCATTGAGTTTCCGATCGCTAGAACCTGCCATCCACGGATCTTCACCAAACTCTTGAGCTCCTGGGTCGGGTACTTGGTCACCGACACAACGATCCATTTCTCCGTCAAGAAATTAGCGTACGGTGAGGTCTTGTCGGGGACAACCTGGATCGAATTCCACTTGATTTGAGGACGAGAGAGAGATTGAAGCGACTGAGTTGACTGTGACTGGAAACAAAGGAGAGAAGCAGTGTCGGTGGTGTTGTAAAGGAAGAAGAAAGCTGCTATGGTGACGATGAAGAGAGAAAAGACAGCGATTCTCGAGAGATTCTCTGAAACCCAAGAGGAAAAATCTAGATTTTTGGGTTCACTGAAACGTCGGATCTGTTGATGAGTAGGTAATTCTCTGATCTGAGATTTAGTCGGCTTGTGTGGAGACGAAGCCGCACGATCCTGAACCAACATCGGATCACTTTCTGAATCAGAAACTTCAAATTCACACACACACAGAGACCCTGAGATTTGTGAATTTTCAAACCAGAACAGATGCAAATTTTGGGTTTGTATCTTTGTCTGTAAGTGTATGTAATGCGGTTGGTGTTGATGGTTGCTTAAGCTTCAATGCAATTGCAAAAAAAGCTTCGAAAGCGAAGTCTGAGTCTGTGAGCTGTAAGGTCAATGCTAAGCTTAAGCTTTGGGTTTCTTCTTTATCCC